CTTTCTGCTGTAACGTTTTAACATGGGAGTCTATGGGGACTGACTCACTGCTGAGCCTGCTGGACGTTAGAGGAACTGCAGCAGATTCTTTCTCTCTGTAAAACCTGTTTAAAGTCTGGATCTCATCTTTGAAGTGAATCACATGAAGCTGCACTACGACAGTAACCTCCTCGTCACAAGGAAAAGTCTTTCGCTGCCTGGTGATTTTATTGCAGGCAGCAAATGACTTTTAATTTTTTCACGTTGGGTGACCAAGTGTCCTACCGGTGGCGGATGCTCCAGGCAGGTGTGGAAATGTTTTGTCTGGTCGGGTTTCATGCGCTTCAGAGGGACTCGGGACTCCCCGATTAACTCATTATGAGTCAACTTGTCCTCGTCACACACGGACAACCTGAACAAGGAGAGGAAGCAAAGGAGTTAGAAGGGAAGGGAAGGAGAGGAAAGAGGAAAAAGTAGAAAAAAATGAAATCAAATAAACAGGAGAGGAGTGTGAAAGAGCACCAGAGGCAGGAAAGGAACCAGGACATAGAAGAGGAAACAAACAAAATGAATTTAGGAGACAGGAGACGAAACTGCAGATGTATTAAGAATATAGTAAAGATTGCATGAAACAGTAGAGCAGACAGGAAAGGAAGCAGGAAACAAATGAAGGAAAGGAAGCAGGAAACAAGTCAGAAGGAAAAGGAAAAATGAATGGGATAAGGAAACAGCAAAGGAAACAAGAGAGGACAAAAGAGAGGAAACAGAAGAGGAAACAGGAATGGAAACAGCAGAAAGGGAGAGGACAGGGATAAGGAATCAGGAAACTAAGACCAGAGAAGGAACAGAAATGTGTAAGAAGACAAAAGACCTGGCAAGGAGATGAAAATGGGAAAGGAGACAGGAAACGAAAGAGGAAACAACAAAGCAATTGGGAAACCAAAGAAATAGAACAAGAACAAAGACTGAAAACAGAAGAGGAAATAAGAAAGGAGAGGAGGAGATTACAAAGGAATCAAAAGAGGAACAGGAAACAGGAGGAATAAAATAAGGAAGTACATAAAGGTCTGAAGCTCAAAACAACCTTTTTTTCTCACTGAGAACTTCACAGACGCAGGAAACACACAGATGCACCTAAACGACGACATAACCGAGTTCAAGATGAACCTCCGCCCGCACGCCGCTGCCGTGATCAGCCAACAAAAACAGTTTTATTCTTCTTTTGCTTTTCAGAGTGAGATTAATGATCATCTTTACAGCGTTTCAGTTTCCACTGTGTTTGCATCTCATACTTTATTCAGTGGGAGGAATCTGGACACGAGCAGGAGGCAGAGGGAGAGTCGACCTCCTCGGGCTCAACGTTAGACTGGAACTAGTTCAGAATATCATTATTCCCGCACCTCCTCTGGGATTTCTGACAGTGATTCACGCTCCTCCTCACGCCCTGATTAACCTCCGTCAGCAGCAGGCGTAGGAGAGGAAAGCCTCCTCCTAATCGTCCTCCTCTTCCTCCTCCCGCTGCTGCTGACGAGCACTTGACGGCTCTGAAAAAGGTCGCGAGTGCGATCGCGATCAAACTGCAGAAGCTGCCAGTGGAAAAGCAAAATGTCAGATCAAACGAAGCTGCCGACTCCCGACACCTCATCCACTCATCAAACACCGAGGCTGAGCGTCAGCAGGCCTTCGTCCAGTTCATTTACATTTAGCACACAGTGAGGGGAACATGCTCTAACATCGACTGCTGAGGTTAGCTCATACCAGACAAGAAAGGAAACAGGAAACAAGAGGAAGTAATGAAGGAAAGAGCAGGAGATGGGAGAGGATACAGAGGCAGAAACAGCAGAGGAAACACTATAGGAAACAGGAAATGGGATAAGCAAACATGAAAAAGAAAAGGACATTGGGAAGGAAATGGGAGAGGAAACATAACAAAAAAAGGAAAAATAATCAGGAAGCAAATGGAAATGAGACAGGAGAGGAAAGAAAGGGAAAAACACTGAAACAGGAAGTGACAGGGGAAATGATAAGTAGACAGAAGACTAAATGATGCGAATCAGGCAGTGAATGAGACATCATCAGGGGAGACATCAAAGAAAAAAACGATGAAGAAAGATGAGGAGACGTGGAAACGACCAGAGAGGAAGAAGACACAGGAGAAGAGAAACTGGAGCGACAGGAAACACAGGAGAGAAAAATAAAATAAGGAAGTGAGAAGAGAAGAAATGGAACAGCAGAGGACAAAGAGGAGGAGAGGAGTGGGAATACAAGTGGGAACGAGACAGGATGGAAAACAGGAAACATGAGAGGTTTAAGGAAATGTAAGAGGAAACATGAGAGGAGACAGGAGTGTTGGTTTGTGCTGAGACCAGAGTCAGGAACAGCTTCATTCAATCCGCCCTGCTGGAGTTTACCTGACTGTTTACATCTTCCTGTTCTGACAGTGTGTAAACACACATGCATGCACACAGACACGCACGTTTCTGCTTTTCATCAAACTGCATCAGATCAAACGTCGTGTTTGAGGAGACGACAGACGTCGTCGGATTAAACCTTTACATCATACAAACACATTTTAAATGTGGATGCAAACAATGTGGGAATGCTGACGGGAAACATCGAGACAGAGCGAATGCTGTGAGCCGAGCGTGTCGCCAAACTGCTGCCCACCAGATATATTTATAAAAAATGACATTCACAGCGTGGACACTGAGAGTGGGTCTGCGTGTTTGGGTGACTGACCTCTCCTCAGCAAGGCTTTTATTTTTATTTACAGCCTGAATCTGTCTGAGATCTCCAGCTTCTGGGGATCAAACCGGTTCAAAGGTCAGAAGCCTGCAGAGCTAAGACTGAGAAATCGAGACATCTTTAGTCGTGAACTCTGACCCCGACCACGAGCCTAAGCCCTGCTCTGACTTCTAAACAGCAGCTTAATGAGGCGAGGTCCACAGAAGCTGTGAGAACAGTTTTAGAAAAAGAGGATTTTTCATAAGATTTGTAAAGAAAGTGAAAATATGGACTGTTTTTTAAAAAGAAACTAGACGAAGAAATAAGGAATTGTTTAATATAGAAGACCACAGCTGTTAAGAATGGCTTTAGCTTCTTTTAAAGACGACAGTGGAACTGCAGCCCAGCAGCAGTACATTAATGACTAACCTCGTATTGTGGATGGATTATCTCAGTTGTTCTCCTGACTGAAGTTTGGTCCGTTTACAGCATCCTGCCATGTGATTACATTTGTCTCTAACCATCAGAAACCCTCACGCTAACTTTTATCGAGTGGAAGAAAGTTAGCGTTCATCCTCCAGCTTCACTGTGTTTATGCTAACATAGCTGTTAGCTAGCGAGCACGTAGCACATCAAACAAAACAGTTAATGACGTCAGACATACAGACCGGATGGGCTTATTATTAGTTACTAATCACTCTAATAGGAGTGTTGATGCTATCATTAGTATTTTTCTTTTCTTTCCTTATTTTTTGTCTCCTTTTGTGAGATACTGAACCCCAATTTGCTCTGTTGTGTTCATCAGAGTGTGATTGTCAGACAGAAAGTATTTAATAGGGGTGCAACGATACACAAAATTCACGGTTCGGTTCGATACTTTGGTGTCACGGTTCGATATTTTTTCGATACAAAAAAAATGTTCATGCCTTTTTAATTTGTCATTT